CCGGGGAGACCCCACTCTCCCCGCTTCCATCCACAAGCAGCCGAACTGTTCAGATAAAGCAGATTGCACCATTTCCAGAAGATCAGCTTCATTTCTGAAGTCGGTTGTATTCCTCACCAATATTCCTTTTCCACATAAGCAAGAACTGCCACTGCTGCTGTTAAGCTGCACTCCGAAGGAAGGGCTGTAGCCTGCCAAAGGTCTCTGGTGCGCAGACGGCTTGGCAGGGACCCGGAGGCTCAGGCTGGAGGGGACACTGCAATTACTGGCGCTCAGCTCTCACACCCTATAGGCCATGGAGCTTCACCAAACTATGTCCTGCTGCTATCCAATATTACCATTAAGTTTTTGCATACCATCTATAGCCTGGACGTGGACTATTTCGGGTTGCAATCATTGAACTCTGCTGGAACGGAAAGTTCTCCACCGGGTTGGTATTTAGGAACTTAACACATCAAGTTATCTGAGGCAATCGCCCTAAGACCGTTTTTCTGGTCCTACAGTTTGATCTTCCAACCGAACACATTCTCAAGCTATTTAACTCCTACTGTGCCAGCACGAAAAATGCTGAGTATTCCCTGATCCTCAGTATCCTTGTTTGGATGCTCACAGATGCAGGAACTGTATTGGGTCTGCAGCCCAGACAGTCGTACTGCAAGCATGCAGCGAATTACCCAAACCGACTGCTTCCCAAGAGACCTCACCTGCCTGCAAACGGGACTGATGGCTGTTGTTCCTTCATCTTGGGTTGTACCAGCCTCACATGGGCACACACATCTCTCCCTGCTGCCACTCCTGTTTTTTAAACCTGTCTGTTCCACACCTGTCAGCTGAAAACTTGATCAATAATTAATTACTCTTATCTTGAACACCATTAAAAATGTAAGAAGGCGAGGGCTAAAAACTGGTTCTCCGTGGTACACAGCTAGATATGAAAACTATCAAACAAGGATTCCTGAAATCATTTTGAGACCTGTTAGTTACAGAAATTCTCATTTCCTATGGTCGCCTATGGTTTGCATCGCTCTGCTTTTTGAAAAAGAATTGTGCAGCATCACAAAGTCACAGACAGGAATGCACTACATCAACATTGCTGCCTTCGTGAATCAAACCTGAAATTTTACTGCAACTGATATTTTACAAAAATACAAGTTTTCCATAATTTCCCTGATGTGAAGAATTAGTTCATGAGCTATCAATTTGTCTTACTGATATACTTCCTCACTGTGGAAATTGAAGTAAAGCTAAGAAAATACAGTTTTCCTAGGCATCTTATTTACATTTTAAAAACCTAACAGCAAAATATGTCTCTCCTTCCTGTCTCCTGAAATTTCCTCAGTATTTCAATTATTGAAAATTAGCTGAAACCAGACAGAGGCCAGGGGAGCTGCTCCCCCTCCACGCCAAGTAACCCCGACTACCCCCGCCCTGCCAGTTAACACGTAGCCGCTGTTCAGTATCTCAGGAGCTATCGTTGACACAGCAAGTTTTCATTTATATGCATTTATCACATAAAGATGACATCTATATAATGAACGTTGATGATGTCTGATTCTAATATTTCAGTCTAACAAAAGACAAAACCTTTGCTGTTAGTATTGATTTTAATTTTATTCAGCGAGACTCAAAATCAAAAATTATGTTCTCCATGACTGCGAATGAAAATTAAAACAATAGGATTTGGGCAGAAGAATTGCAAACCTGACCTACACGAGAATGGGACCAGAACAAAGGTACATTTGAACGAGGCGAGCCAGAGTCACATTTATTTTGCTCCATGCCATATACAGAGTGTATTTACTGAGAAAGAAGAGCCAGGTAGTCTTTGGTCACCCCTTCTTCGGCTGTCCTACAGGCTGCTATAGGATGAGTGACAGCATCCCACTGAGCACAGCTCCTCCAAAATGTTTTAGCAGCTAAACACTAATACTAGAGAACAACGCACAGAGTCTGCGTCCAAAACACAACAAAGCACAAGTACTCCTCTCCTTTTGAATGTCCCATTGCAGAGCTGTAGTGACCTTGAACACTCCATGTTACTGGTTTAATGTGAGAGCACAATAACGACACTTTTTTCCCCAGTGTAAGTCAGCACCAGACAACCCAACCCGCAGATTCCCTCAAGTACACGTGCAGCTGTGCCAGAGCAGGTTAAAGGTTCCTCTGGACCCACGGTCCCATCTCAAACGGTGGATGCTTCACAAAGCGGTTAAGAGCTGAGCAAGCACATGGTGACGCTTTCCTGCTGTGCTCTCCCAGCAACTGAACTGGGATCTGCAGGGTGCTTTCTGGAACAGGGACCAGCTGCAGACAGCCTGCCTTAGGCTGTCAGTGCGGCAGCTACACACGGTCCCTTCCAGTCTGGGCATACCACCAGTGGCCTGTCCCAACGCCACGCTCAGAAATGAGGTGCACCATTAACAGGACTGGAGGTTTGGGGAGTCGGGAGAGTTTTATGATATTACACACAAAAAAATCATCAGGTGTTCCCACCAAGACTTAACTTTCTTCTCAGAATTGCACTAAAAAGCTGTCATGGGACAGGGGAACCTGACATGACACCAGCAGCAATCCCTGCGTACGACGCTTCCCACCACACACCCAAACAACACACATGAGAAAACACACTTTGGGTAGGACACTTGCCGTAGCTAATGACCAGAAATAACAAAGAAAACTGGTTTCAGAACCAGTTATGCACTCTGAGGTTTTATTTATTTTTAAGAGTGCAAGCCAGACAACTCCACCCCAGGCAGTCCCACAGTACTAAGCTGTGTGAGATGGACAAAAGTTGGAGAATCACTGCACTTGGACACCTGAATGCAAGTTTATGTGCTCAGTTTCCCTGTCTGGCCACTTTCTCCTTCAATATTGAGGAAGAGAAGGGGATGATTCAGATAGCAGTACCACTCTCACAGCCTCCAAATCCATACTTTCAATTTCCATGGTGAAATCCCCTTCTCACCCCCACACTGCTGTCTCATCTCCAGCCTTGGATCAACAGCCCAGTTCAGCAGAAGAGCTGTTTGTTCGACCACGTCTTCGTTTAATCTAATCATAACTGCAGCTCTTGTGGCAACGCTCCCGTGGATCCCCATCTTATTCATTCCTTGCCAAGCTTCACTCAGCAGTGACCACGTCCCAAGTGCTGCCTGCTTCTCCTCGGATGCTCCATGTACCATCCAAAGGTGCCCTGACCTCCTGCCCAGCCATGGTAGCTTCTCATCCACTTTCTAGTTTCCAACCTCTTACACTTTATAACTCTTAACCTGCTCTATGCGGTTTTGCTGCATCGTTCTTTCTATATCTCACAGGATCATCAAGCAGACCCTTGAGTTCACCTACCTGCATCTCTGAATTCACATCTACCAGCTCTCGGACAACTAAGACGACCCAAAGAAATGTT